TTTTAACAATTTTTTGACCACTCTTTTGACTCATTTGTTTGTAACATTTAAACAAATTTCTCAAAATATTTTATACTCTAAACAATTCTCATTCCTCAATTTATTTTGTAGGTGTACCATAAAATTGCTAATTTTGATACCCTATGTTTTATTAGATTCTTATAAAAAGTGGCCCAATTTGTTTTGGTGGCTTATATTGACCCAATATGTATACATATATAGAAATGCCCTAACGTGTCTGCTTTGTCAAAGGTCTTCTCGTATTCTCCGTTTCGCCGTTCATCAATTCTCCCCAAAATCATGTGCGATTGTTGAAAACCGGCGATGATTACCATCTATTTTTTATTGGCAATTTTTGGTTTTCGGCTGTGCACGCACTGCCGGCCCAAATTTAGTTATTACTCTTGCCAACATTTGGTGTTTATTAATGGCTCGCTATCCCCTGCATGATAACTGCAAGCACAAGGCCCAATAAAAAAACCCTAATTTAATTTCACAACACCACATTTTACACAAACAAACACAATGTACCCAACCTGAAAAGCCTAATTGCACAATAGAAGAAAAAAAAATACCCAACATGTAAAGCCGAATTCGCGTAAACAATTAGGAAACACCTACTAATCATTTTAACTACCCATGACTGATTTTGGGAAATTAGTCTTATGTGCTCCAGCAAAAGTGAAGAAACAAAGCAGTGAGCTAATGGCATATAAGTGTGTATATGTATTCGCACATTTTATACACTCGCATTGTGATTACAAAAGTACAATAACAATTGATGCACTGACAGAAAAATCTTCAAAAGTAACATTACAATAACAACAAAAAAATGAGTCATTTGTTGTCGGTTTAAAAATCGGGCCTCTGTTCGAAAACTACAATGATTATATAGAAACCAATGAATTCCATAATGTTGAGGAGCTTTAAACCAAGGTCTAACTTAATTCGTGCGGCGTTAGCAGCACTGAAGCTACACATTCCGTTCTTTTTTTTTCTTTGTGGGTAAATTTTAGCCCATCAACAAAATAAAATGAAAAATGAAATGATATTATTAGAAAAGAAACCTTAAAAATAACCTTCGTTATTTTGGAGTTGATTTACTGGGCCCGCGTCTGTTGCGTCGGTGGCCGTGGCACACATTTTTGGACTACAAGGTATCAAGTTGTACTCAAATGTGTTGTTTATTTTCACTGAACATTCATAAATTTCTCCTCTTCCCTGAGAACCAGCCTATTAAGTTCTCCGTAAAATCATATACATGTAGAAGAACCATTTGTCAAGGAAAATCAAAAAGCTACAGTATAAATAAATAAAAAAAAAAAAAGATTTAAAGACCTCAAACAGAGAAATTTCTTCATTTGAGGAACCAACCTTTGATTAACCAGATGCGATTCCAGAAGTATCAGCAACGGCGACTGAACAACGCGGAATCTTGGAAAAGTTGATCAGATCCTTGCCCCCTCGAGTGTTCTCCGGTGCGGCGGCTTGAGCTCATATCGCCATGACCATAGATCGATCCCGATCTTGCTGGGTATACACAACCCCACAGTCATGATCTCGTGAATCAAATCCTCCATGCAGATTATTCTATACTTGCCCAGCGTCTAAATGTAAAAATGGCAGTAACAAAATAGAAATGAGAAAAGATGATATAAAAGGAGAAAATTTTCTACTTTATCTTGAATGAAAACACATATATAACCTGCTCGATGATGGAATTATCAGTAAAAGCAATTTTCTGCTTGTTCAATTTTCCATATCCACGCTTGTAAATCAACTCCTCGACGCTCTTAAGGTTGGGGTATCTGAAAGTTCATAGAGTTTCAGATTATTGATTAACTCAAAGTAAAACTACTTGCATCTGTCGGCTGTTATCATACCCGTAATTGACGTAAGGCTCAACCCTGTGCAGCATGTTCACAGTGGCCTTGTTTACTTTCAAGAAGACGCCATTGAAGATCTTTACAAGGCAAAACAGAAACACATTTAATATAACAAAATACTTTAGTATGGATTTTTTCTTCCTAGAGCGAAAGGAGTCATTGAAACTCAAAACAGAATTAATAATGAAATCATATAAACATACACGTAAATAATTTTATTTTTCTCTCTTACATTGATCTAAATATGGCGTAAATTGAGCAGCAAGGTAAAACCTTACCCACGGATCCTAATTACGAATAGAAGTTTGGCTTTTGGGTTCACATAAAAGCCACCTTTCAATCTAGCTTCGCGCTTCAATTGGATCAACTCCTTCTCCTAGACAACAAAATTACATAAAAAAAATGAGATATGAGACTAAAGCAAAAAAAACAAAAGACGACTTAATTTGATTCCAGAGACAAAGATAACTCAAGTTAACCTGTTGCTCATATTCCTTTGCATACTCTCTTGCTTTCTTGCAAATCAATTTTCTGGTCTCAGAGCTTATGCTTTGCCTCCTCAACTTCTTTTGACCTGACAATAGCCCAGTCCTCAGCCCTTTTCTGCTTCTTCACAAGTGACTCCAGAACTATTACATAGCCTTTAACAACCTCAGCCATTACTGTACTGATTACAATACAAACCAAAACCATAATTATCAACATTCACATTGCAAGAAACAAACAATACAATCACATTGCTACCTCCTTCTGGCTGCGATTTGTCTTTCATCACACACACGATAAAAACATGTCCTAGCCTGCAGATCCTTGTACCATTCCATATCTCCACTTTCACCGACTTTCAAATATTAACAAATACCCTGAAACAAAAAACTCGAAATTTCATTCTACTTGCACGCTAAACAGTCTTGTTGAGGCCGCTTCAATTCCATAACCCATATATGAGAAATTTAGTCATATACAGTCATTAAATTCCCAATCAAGTCATTAGTTAATTTCATGTTAGTCCGTAATGCTAATGCTTAACATCTTCGCTTAAAGTCCACTATTATCTAGAATGTTTCATTAAATTTGAAGAGTCACATTAGAAACTGCCACGCGTCACCCAATCAGTAAATTCCCAATCAAAGTCATGCTACATGTATTTGGTGGGGACTGGGGAGAAAGATTTGCAAGAAATTCATGTTGAATAACATATTGATTATCAAGAAAAAGACTAAACATTAAGTACACTGCAGAGCAGCGATCATGCAACATTACTTTATAATAAAGCCAATAACCAATCAACATTTGCAAAAAATAATCGTCTTATTGTAAAAATAGTAAGATTTGTTTTAAATAGTCATTATCTAATCAATATAATGACATGTAATTTGACTGATTTCAAGAATTTTCTATTTTCAACATATAAATAAAATTATTATGCAGAGGAGAAAATATAGAACAAAGTATAAAAAAAAGGGACATGAGTACCTTTATTATTATTATTTTATTTTTTTTTGAGCAAATCATAGTCTGTTATCCCAGGCATACAATAGTTTGTAAAAACAAGATTTACTTCAATCTTGTGTAAACAAATTAAAATTTATAAGAACAAGATAAAAAGAAAATAACAAAAACCGAGTAACAATTACAACCTAGAGCTTAAGAAAAAATAACAAAAAAATGATGTATATATATATATACACACATATATATAGTACCTGCTATTTTTGGGGGAACCAAAAGCTTCATTTGAGATGGCACTAACATGTTAAGACCAAGTTCTTAATTGATAATTTGACTTTGGAATTAAGGTAAGGTTGGTTCCAGTTGGGTATATTTTCTTCGTCCATTGAAGCAATCACGAGACCAATTTTAATTTGCAATGAGGAAAATCAGTAGAATGGAAAGTTCCTTTCATGGAGAAAAAACAAAAAACATGGATGCATTCTCAGAAATGATTGTGCTAACTCAACCTTGCGGCAATTTAAAGAGAGGGTTTGGAGGGTGGATATCTAATGACTCCACAATATCAAAAAAGAGTAGAAGATAGTTGCAGTAAGGGTTTAAAAACCGTCAAGTTCGGACTAAATGGATTTGCCATTTTTAGATTTTAAATTCTCCCAGACATATCTAATAATAGTGTCTCTGGCAGTAATTTGTTTAGGAATAAAGGAAAAGTACTTGATATGTGAAGAAAAAAAAAAACTTGCTAAAAGAAAATGATTGGTCGAACTGACTAATAATTAGGCCGACACACATAAAAAATTGTGTTTTTCAACATATATGCATTTTTGTTACGAAACTATGACGGATAAAATATATTAGCATAAATAGATTGTAAAATGGTTACTATTTTCTTATATTTCTTTAATTGCTGGGAAAATATTTTCTAAATTGCTAGAAAATATGCCTCGTTTAACCAAATATACATATTGAAAAGGTTGAAACCCTAGATGTTAAATTAACCTTGGACAAGGAAGTTAAATAAAAAAATTGGAGGTGAGCATTAAAAAAAAAAACCTTTTTTCCTCGTATGAGCCTTGGATGAGCATAAAAAAAAAAAAAAAAAAAAAAAAACCTTTTTAACCTTGTTCGTAGCCTAGATCGTTCAAGGTCTCCCCCATCCTTTGCCTGTTCAATTCACATAATGTAAAAAAAAAAACAATGAACATATATATAAAAGTATCAATTGGTTAAGCAGAAAATTTGGAATAATTATAATGGGCCTTATCTCCTTCCTAATGCTTTTGTTAAGCTCCTTCAATTTTTTGCAAGTGCGCCTGCATTTTCTGAACAAATTTTTCACCACAAAAAAAAAAGCCATGGAAATCATCAATCTTATTTAGTATTTACTCTCTAATAGAATACAATTACCAAACATATATAGACACCTTAATTAATTAATTAATTATTGCAAAAAAAAAGGAAAGAAAATGACAACCTCATAGCGTGAGTCACACAGATCCACCCCAACTGTCTTCTGGTATTGATCAAAACTTGTTTTGTCAAAAAAAAAATCATTATGTCAAAAAATTTATTAGACTCTCAAGCATAACATTCACAGTCATCTAAACCATTATGTTCCAAAATTAACAAATCATTATGTTCCAAAACTTCTAATATTATATTTAACTATCACACTAACTTACTCCACCCATATGAAAATTTTCTCAAAAGTTACAAATCAGCAGGCAGGACATATATAGAAGCTTCATCAAGTATCACTGAGCGTGTACATGGGAAAAAATTGAATCGACATAAATATTTTATCTCACATGTATTACAAGAGAATATTAAAAACTATGATATTGCAATACAGTATTGATTTTTGTAATGCTATTAAGCTTGATTGATATATATTACTCAATGAGAATTACAACATATATATACAAGCTAAAGGAGATGTAAGAAAGGAAAGAAATCAAAACACCTAATCTAAGGGATTTAGCATATCACCTAATTGATACAATCTAATCTATACCATATATACGATAACAATTATAAAGTATGCTCAAAAAGATGAGAAGCTGGATTGAAGAGCGAGAACTAACAAAAGAAGAAAAAAGACAAAGAAATTAGTCAAAATGTTTACTGGATTAATAAATCATTAAGCTACTCACCATAGTGAACATTGACACTTTACACAGAAAACAGTTCAGCGCCAAGACACCACATAATAAACCTATGTGCTTCAATAGGAAGAGAAGTGACACCACAACTATGGCATTGATGGTCATCAATATTGTAAATTAATACGTACTTAAAACTACAAGTTCATAAGCAGGTGAAACTGTTTAGAATTTAGAGAACATTAAATGATTTCCAAAACCATGTACTATCACAAGCATACTGGAATGCCAGTAGTATCTAAATACAAAACAATCGGGCTCACGATAATGTCAAAATCATGCTAACTACAAAAAAAATGCCAGAAAGAGATTAATTGCATCTTCTATAAGGAAGCCTTTCGTCCACTTTATGAGAGTTGATTACAATGATAATTGCCTAATAGGGAATGAAAAAGGTAAAGCCAAGCTCCCTTTGCCAGCCCGGGGGAGACAAAAATCTTCACTTTCTTCTTCCTTGGAAACAAATTTTGCAAGTGCAGCAGCAATAAAAACAAACAATTCATAAACCATACCCCATGAGAACATCAAAAAACTTGCAAAAATGCAAGCTGGCATATTCTGTTATGTGAATATACAAACTCACATGAGATGACCCAACCATCAAATGTAGCGGGATTGAGACCTCCTTGGATTCTTGTTTGGTCTTACTTCCTTTACCACCCAACTGAACCCACATAACACGAAAATTTGTGCCACAAAAATCCAATGCATTAAACAATACCATTTCGTCCTTGAACAGACACAAAATTAAAAAACTAAATCTAAAACCAAACATGAAAAATTGAAATATTCGGATATTATTGCCAAATTGGAAAATCCCCAACAACATAAAACCACAAAGAGTACCAAAAATATTTGTTCTATTGCGCCGATGTTTAAAGCACAAATCTTAAGAAAAAGAGCCAAATTAACGCGAAGCTAGTACCTAAAGTTTCTTCAACCAACCTACGTCACTAAATTTGGTCTTGTGCACTGAACTTTGATCGAAAAACGCCACTGGAAAAGTATCGACGTTCAGAAAAAAAAATGAGGGCCAACCATTTCCCTAAACTCCAATCAAAAGCTGAACGAATGCCTTGAAAATTGTTAAACGAACGGATTGTGAATAAAAAATGTACAAATAACCTTGACGGCAAGATATTCAAGGACGGCTGAGATAAAAACAGGAGCGCCTATTTACCTGTTTTCAGAAAAGGTACAATTCGGCAGACAGGACAATCTCAGAAAACACGTTTCCACTCTTCCCCTAATCCTTCCAGTCTACCGTTGTTACGGCCGGTGCATCCGACAATCGTCTCCCTTCCTCTGCCTCTGGCGCCTACAGCTCTAAAAAATTGCAATTTTCCTTTGTGCCGATGGGCCACACTTGTCCGATTTATTCTTCTTGTTTTTAACCTGTTGTAGGCTAGAGGTTACAAGAGGCAAAAGCCGCAAATTAGACGTCGGAAAATAAAAACGTTTTTAGTCAACCCGCAACAAAATACAGCAGAAACTATACCTCACCTCACTTTCAGAACATAATTATTATTGCCATGTTCAGATAGAGAGATTTCACAGTTTACACAAATGCAGTCAACATCTTCTTCCTTCATGGTTCAACATACACAAACAAAAACCTCAAGTATATTAAATTATGTAGTGCAAATCCAAAATAAAACACAAATATCTAAACAGTGAAAATTGAATCAGGTGAAGTAGAGAAACCCTCTTCACGGGCGGGCTAGATCTCTGATTCTAAAGCCATGGCTGCATATGGTACAAAACAATAAATTTTGAGGTGGGTTTTCACATGATCTTACAAACCTTGTTATGTGTTTTGGGACAACGGCGTGGTGGATTTACGGTGGTTGCACGTTAAAATTTCGGCGGCGGCGGGAGCTCAGCTCGTCAAGGGTTTGGGCGCTGTTGTGAAAAGGCCAAATTCATTGGAGAGCAGCGAGGGTTTTATCATTCAACTTTTTTCCTTTAGTTTCTTGTCTAGCTGCGGGCGGGTAGAGACGAAGGAAAGAGTCGGTCGATTAGGGATTCAATCGTCTAGGTCATCTTTAAACCAGCATTCTCCCGCCGCACCACCTCTCGGGTACTAACCGCCGCGCCGACTGTTGTCGTCGGGACTGTAATTTCTCCTCCGACTTCGTCGTGTATCTAAAAATGTCCGAACTCTGGCAGCCATGGCGTGGGTGGTCGATCTGCGAGTCAAACTGAATTGCTAAGCCTCTTCCTGATTTCAGAGCAAAAATCGAGAGTCGCAGATTAGGTAAATCAAATGAGAGAGTAGCTGAGGGTTGCGTGGAGAAGGCAAATCGTAGATTTTCAGGCACCAGATCCTAAATCAAATGAGAGAGTGGTTGAAGGTTGCGTGGAGAAGGCAAATCGCAGATTTTCAGGCACAAAATCCTTCAAGCATGCGTTGGCAGAAAAAGTGCTGAGGAAACCCTAAAAGCTGAATTGGGTAATGGCATCAAGCGTAAAAAAAGGACCAATACAGGGGCATTTTTGTCCAAAAATGACACGTGTCGGCTAGAGAATGCTCCAAAGTTGTTTGTCTATATGTATAGTAGAGATATAAAATAAAATGTCGTATATAAAATGTTTTAACATATATACACATATGTGCTTCTATCGATTTTTTTTTTTAATTTGAAGTATCTCATAATAATTATAAGAAGTTCAAATAACTGCATATATATCATGTCATCTATAATAACTAATTTGTAAAAACAAAATAGGTTACGTTGAAAAATGAAAAGCATTGTGAGTGTATTTATATTAATTAATCAAATTAAATTTTTTCAACCATTATACATTGGAATTTAATTTTTTTTCATAATTATAAAACACCTTTGATATAAAAGTATTTCATAATTATAAAACACCTTTGATATAAAAGTATTTATTTATATTATACTGGTTCTGAAAAGCAGTGGCTGAAAATAATAGCAACAAACGCTTTTAATTAGCTGAAAATGGCAGCGTTTGGCGGCACCACCGCATGGCTACCCTCATTGCACCTGTTGCCGCCGTGCAATAGTAAGGTCTATAATCCTCTTCTCTCTCTCTCACTCTCTCTCTATTTTAATATATTCATTCAAATCACAGTTTAGGTCTCACGGCTTCCATTGCTGCTCCAATATGAATCCAAATGGGAAAAGTAAAGAAGAAACACAGACGCCGGCGTTGTTGAAGATGGCCGTCGGCGGTGTGACTGAGCTCCTTAGGCTCCTTTCTCCCGCCGCCAAAAGGTTAGTGTTCGTGGGTATTGTAATTACAAAAACAACCCTGGAGGATTGTAGTATTTACAAGACAAAAATCCAGGCTAATACTGACAGGTGACCAGATTGTAGCTGAATATTTGGAGGGTTTATGAAAAAACCCGTGAACTCTATTGGGCAATTTGTTAGGGATGAGAACTTCATACTCGATGATTGTTACATGGAATGTACATTTCAGGAAGGTTTTAGTTGATAATGAAAGGGAGGATGAGATTCGCGCGTCGAGTGTAAATGAAGTTCTTTCAATCATCAAATCTGATTATGAGAATGCTTACTTTGTAACAGGTATCTGCATTCTGTTTCTTTTTGAGAAATTTTGCGATCTTAGAGAAAGAAAATATTATTGTTAATGGTAGCAGGTACATAGTAGCAGGATGATAATCTTAGGTTTAAGCAAGAAAAAGCTTCAATTTAAGCTTTTATCAGTAGTTAATGATTCCACGTGTCCACACAGGGATCGGCCTGAATAATATGGTTGTTGGTGAATGTGTAAATTGAAATTTATGTTTGTAATAATATAGTTTTATTTTAATTTCATTGGGACGAGAAGTTGTGTTTGCAGGACTCTTCACTTCTGCAATTTATGATGAGGATTGCACATTTGAAGACCCGACAATTAAATTTCAAGGTAACAAAAAAATGGATTTTTAGTTGATTTGGGTTTTCTATGGTAAGATAAATTCTTGAAGAACATAGTTATGTACTTGACTTTTTACCTTTGCTGCCAGGTAGAGAATTATATGCACGCAATTTGAGATTGCTTGTACCTTTCTTTGATAATCCATCAATCCATTTAAAGGAAATAAAGAAGGTGCACTCTTTGTATTTGCCAGTTGCAACTAAAGTTAGTCATAGTTAAATTCTTATGTGGATCACCTTGGCTTCATTCATTTCTACTTTTGTTTTCAAATGTAAGTTACTTTATATGTTTGAATAGGTTCACTTGTATCATGAAGTAGATGGATGGAATGTGAAAAATGTCAGATTGACTGTTTACGTATGTTTTGTGCTTACCATGCAGGGCCTTGATCGCGAGAAAGGCTTCATTGTTGCTTCATGGAGTCTCAGGTACTCATTCTTCCCATACATGATTCAAATATTTGAATGATTTTCATAGTTTTTTATAGCTCTACTAAGGGCGCCTCCATCAAACCACCAAACCGACACCATCTCCATTACAGCGTTAGTTTCTTGTTCCAACCCCTCCGCCATAACAGGCACTCTTTTGGAGAGTGCTATAGTGTTGCTTCATAGCTATCTTCATATTGTTTATGTGTTGTCATACTTTATTCTTTTTTTTTTTTTTTTTTTTTTTTTTT